CACCCAGCAGGTCCATTCTAGGCCTGGGCTGCTTGTTGGCCAAAATCCGCACGCGGGAAATGTGCAAAACTTAAGGGCCCCTCAAGCTGAACTGTTTGTGCCGCAGGAGCGTTCACAATGACAAGTTATGCATTGCCTCCGGGGCACTCAAGGAGCAAGGTGGCAAATGCAAATTACCACACTGAAACGGGCTGGGCCCGCACTGTCAACATTGAGAAGACAAGATTAGGCAGTTTGTTGGTTGTTGCAGATATGCAAGGGACTTGTCGGCCTTTCAGGGCCCCTGCAAGTCTCCTACTTGTGGTGAAGCTGTACATGTTTGTCATGAAATATTCGCCTTTGTTTAGTTGGCCTGGGGAATCATCCAGCCGAAAATGGCTCTTCGCATTCTCGGAGCGGGGACGACGGATCATTGTCCGGGCTGACGGGCGCAGAAGATTGCGGATGGTCGACCTTGCAGTGCGAGCTTTTGGGAGGCACCCCAAAAGCACGACAAATGCGTGAGGGCATGCCTTCGTACATGCGTGTGTGGGTGTGAAAGACATATCAACATATCCCTGCAACATGCTCTTTCACAGTTTTCTCTTGCCAGCTCGCAACTGTCAACTTTGGCCGAGGCGACCAGCAGGCCGGAGTTCGCCGATCGGCTCACGGATGCGGGATACCGGGCCGGACACCTCCAGCGGCACCAGTCAATAGTCTTCCATTTGCTGAAGTGTGCTTTTTCATGGAATAGTAGACTTCATTTGCTGAATAGTCTTGGAGGGAATTTATCATGGAAATGTGCTTTTTCATTTTTACATGGGGCTTAAGCAAATGGAAGTAGTACTTTACATGTTCCATCTTCCCAATGTTTCTCGCTTGATCTTTTATTTGACTGAGATAAGCGTTTGAGTTTGTCACTAACAGACAAAGACACGTGGAAGGACAAATGGGGTGTTGTCGACAATGTGGACCCTTTTGGACCTTTTGGGACCTGGTGCTGCCTTGTGTTGCCTTTTACAGGGGAACCAATTAAAGGACCGGATAACCCCACATGCTATGTTTTTCCCAAGGATGTGAGTTCAAATGTCTGGACACAAAGCTTCTGCGAGCCCAATCTCAACATCCAACAGCTTGCCTCACAATGCACCCTGCCTCATGTACTCACAGCTCTGCACTTACACAAGCCTTGTAGACGACCCTTTAGACATCCGAGAAGTGTGAGTGAGTGTGAGTATGAATGCGAGCGAATGAGTGACAAAATGCTGCCCCTGCCACACAAACACACACCCAGACGCACAGAATGCTGCGCCTGCCACGACTTCGGCAATGGCATCTCCAAAGTGCCGCGCCTGCCACGATTTCGCACGCCCCCCGCCGAGCGCGCAACGCCATCCTGTCCTTTTAGACAGCTGCCAAATGCTGCCCCTGCCACACAAACGCACACCCAGATGCACAGAATGCTGCGCCTGCCCTGCCACACAAACACACACCCAGATGCACAGAATGCTGCGCCTGCCACGACTTCGGCAACGGCATCGCCAAAGTGCTGCGCCTGCCACGATTTCGCACACCCCCCGCCGCGCGCGCGACAACATCCTGTCCCTCTAGACAGCTGCCGAATGCGACCCCTGCCACACAAACACACACCCAGATGCACAGAATGCTGCGCCTGCCACGACTTCGGCAACGGCATCGCCAAAGTGCTGCGCCTGCCACGATTTCGCACACCCCCCGCCGCGCGCGCGACAACATCCTGTCCCTCTAGACAGCTGCCGAATGCGACCCCTGCCACACAAACACACACCCAGATGCACAGAATGCTGCGCCTGCCACGACTTCGGCAACGGCATCGCCAAAGTGCTGCGCCTGCCACGATTTCGCAACGGCATCGCCAAAGTGCTGCGCCTGCCACGATTTCGCACACCCCCCGCCGCGCGCGCGACAACATCCTGTCCCTCTAGACAGCTGCCGAATGCGACCCCTGCCACACAAACACACACCCAGATGCACAGAATGCTGCGCTGCCACGACTTCGGCCTGCCACGCCACTTCGGCAGACAGGCCATCGCCAAAGTGCTGCGCCTGCCACGATTTCGCAACGGCATCGCCAAAGTGCTGCGCCTGCCACGATTTCGCACGCCCCCCGCCGCGCGCGCGACAACATCCTGTCCCTCTAGACAGCTGCCGAATGCGACCCCTGCCACACAAACACACACCCAGATGCACAGAATGCTGCGCCTGCCACGACTTCGGCAACGGCATCGCCAAAGTGCTGCGCCTGCCACGATTTCGCACACCCCCCGCCGCGCGCGCGACAACATCCTGTCCCTCTAGACAGCTGCCGTGAGTCAGCGAGTGTGAGTGAGTGAGTGAGCGAGTGAGTGAGTGAGTGAGTGAATGAGAGTGAGTGAATGAGAGTGAGTGTGAGTGAGTGAGTGTGAGTGAGCGTGAGTGAGTGAGTGAGTGAGTGAGTGAGTGAGTGTGAGTGAGTGTGAGTGAGTGAGTGTGAGTGAGTGTGAGTGAGTGAGTGTGAGTGAGTGTGAGTGAGTGTGAGTGAGTGAGTGTGAGCGAGTGTGAGTGAGTGAGTGTGAGTGAGTGAGTGTGAGTGAGCGTGAGTGAGTGTGAGTGAGACAGTGATGAGGAGGGAGGGCGGGAGGAGGAGGAGAAGGAGACGCGGCGCGCGGACGACGAGCGGTAAAAGTAAGAACCCCACACAAAGATGTGGGGAAAAAGAGCCCCTTTTGACAAGCCTTCAAATGCCCAACGACCTGAGTTTTCCCACTCACAAATCAAACAGCCGTGGACTCATGTACAATCCCGCAGTCCTTGGGCCATTTGAGCTGCGTTCTCACACGTTGACGGACACTGACGATGTACAGCGAACTTTGCGTCCATCTTGTTTGGAGTTTCAGAGAGCATAACGAATGCGACCGGTTTAGCAGGCACTTGGGTGTGGCTTTTGCATTGCTTGCTCTATGTGTTTGTTGCTGCTCAATGCAAATAATGTGTATATATATATATATTATATGAAGTGGTTTGTCTCATGAGTTGAACTGACCTGATGCAAGGTCAATCGTGCCAAGATCCAGGATGAATTGAATTGCTATTTGTGGGGATCCCAATCGTGGCAAGACAGAGAACGATGCGATCTTGCTGCATTGCAAGGTGTACCGATTCCGCTGATTTATTTTTTTTTGAGGCGCCTGCTGACCCATTCAATGGGGGAAGCCCTCAAAATGGTTGGTGTCCCTTTGACTTTGGCTTCCATTTGAACCAACCCCCAACCCAAAGAGTACCTACTCTTTTTCCTTCGGAGGGGATGCGCCTCTCGAGTGCTTCACCAAGATCCCATGGCCACTGGGACAAACCCAGAGGGTACCTATGCTCATGGGGGCTGGGGGGGAGGGAGGGGGGGGGGGAGGGAGCCCCAAAAACCCTAAATAACTTATTTGGGGCTCCTCCCCCCCCCTCCCTCCCCTCCCTCCCCCCCAGCCCCCATATGCAAAAAAGTCCTGCATCCCGCTTGCCCGACGTTAACTGCCAGGTTGGCCGCTCCTGCGCAGGCCTGCCGGTGCGGCTGACCTCCGAGTCGCGCAGGGCGCTGGAGCGGGGCCAGCAAGAGAGGGAGTGCTCATTCTGATTGGTTCACGTTGGTTGGCGTTTGTTGGTTGGTTCACGTTGGTTAACGTTTGTTGGTTGGTTAATATTGGTTAATATTGGTTAGTATTGGTTAGTATTGGTTAGTATTGGTTAGTATTGGTTGGCTGGTTGGTTGGTTGGTTGGTTGGTTGGTTGGTTGGTTGGTTGGTTGGTTGGTTTCTTGGTCGGTCAGTCGGTCGGTCAGTCGGTCGGTCGGTCGGTCGGTTGGTTGGTTGGTTGATTGCTTGGTACGTTGGTTGGTGCGTTCGTTACTTGGTTGCTAGGTTTGTTGGTTGCTGAGTGGGTGGGTGGGTGGGTGGGTGGGTGGGTGGGTTGGTTGGTGAGCTGGTTAGCTGGCTGTTTCTTAAAGTAGAAACAGCAGACCCACCCCTAGTGTGTGCTTCTTCTCGTGCGCCACTTGCAATACATCCGCAAGGCGGTACCTAATTTTTTAGGAATCACCCATTTGCTTCAGGTGTGAATATGAACGGCAAATATGTTGGGAAAGGTTGGCGGCATATCTCAAACTTATCCAAGGGAAATTCAACAACCAAGCAAACTCGGAACATCTACTAGAAGTTCGCCAACCACCTACAGAAATGTTGGTAGTTGCTACACGTTGTTGTGGCTGCTGCTTTCTTTTATAAAAGCTCAAGCCGGGTGAACACAAAAATACATAGTATCAGAGGGTGACTTTGCATGCCTTTCTTTTTCCTTTTGTCATCGTATGTTCAATTGTCCTCTGTTTTGCCCTGTTCCATGCTTTGTCCTCAGCTTGCTTGATGCGTCTCTACCTTTCCTGGCGTCCTTGGGTAATTGCTTTTGACCTAGCAACTAGTCCCCCTTCCTCTCCTGACTTTGCGTGTGTCCTTCCCTGCTGGTCGTTAGGACAGACCCGTGCAGCCGACCTTCCGCCAGCAAAGCGAGCCCTGCCTGCGCTAGAGCCTGAGCTGAGCTCGGCCCCTGGTCAGAAAGCGCAGATGGCCGGTGCAGTGAGACGGGATCGACCTGTGGCAGAGCCATGCGGAGCGAATTTAAGCCGCGGAGCCCGAGCTTTCGGGCGTTTTAAGGGCGTGCAACTCTTGATTGCCAGCCAGGCTTCCCGAAGGGAACCAGGCTTGGCCGTTTTTGCCGACACACATGTCTTTATGTGGATAGCGCCTGGAGCGACTCACAGTGACGTCATTCCACACCCAGACACGCTGCGACCAAAAGTTTGCTGACCCTTGCCAGGGGACTCAAGTTTTCTTGCAGCCCGGCCAGGGGCTCTCAAGTTTTCTTGCAGCCCGGTTTGTTTTTTCACTTGTCGCAGATTAGTGACCAAAGTCATGCTATGGGTTCCTGTTCTGGGTTTGAGGAGGTTCGTCAGCGCTGAGGTGAAGTTCCGGAATGGCATGCAGGCGCTGGGTGAGGCAGGGAGAGAGCCTCAATGCGATGGCAGTTGTCAGACGCATGAGCGAACAGTATCTACGATTGCTTGGGCAAGCAGAACAGCATTCTGCCTCGCAAGGGTAATTAAATTAGTTGGGACAGCCACAGGTGTTTGTGGTTGAGTCATGATGCCTGCTTAACAGTACATTCATGCCCTGAAACCCTGAACCCTAAACCCTACACCTTAAATTCTAAACCCTAAACCCTAGGCGGAAGGGGATGTGAAATACAAATTGGTTTTGGCTCAGCGCCAGTGCAAGCTGCAGCGGGCCCGGGGAATTTGTTGTTTGGTGTAGGACTTCCAGGTTGGGTCGTTTGAGGAAGGCAGGCTGTGCCCCAGCTTGAATTCGAGGGTTCAATATCAGGTGTCAATCTTGGAGTCATGTTTGAAACAAGTGGCTTTAGTGGTCTGAGCCCGTTGCGAACGGCGAACACCCCATCTAGGGTCAAATGTGACAGAACAGGTGCGGTTGCAGACGTGCCACCCTTTCGCAACCACATATGACCCAACTGCGCCTCGCTGCTAAACTTTCGTTCGCACTGGACTATGTGGGCAATCAGCACCTTTCGGCAGAGATACCCTGCAGTGCCCAGCACGTGGCAGGTTTTTTCGGCAGCAAGTACCGGTGAGCACGGTTGATAAAGGGTGTTCTTGAGTAGGATTCAGTCTCTAAAGTAGTCTCAACCTTCAGAGAATTGGGATTAATAATTGGGATTCCTTCAGCAGTGGTTGAATCCGATTCCTTCAGTGGTTGAATCCTGGATTGAAGGTCCCATTGAATTGAGGTCCCATTGAATCTATGTCAACCTTCGGAACACCCTTTACCAACCACTGCTATTGGATTGGATAGAGCATTGAATCTATTGGTTATTTAATCTATTGGTTATTTTTCAAGTGGTTCAAGCTTGGATTCAACCAATTGGTCCTATTTAAAGGAGTAGAATCCCAGCTGGGTTCCCATCTATTTGCTGTTCTCTTTGAGTTCCCCTTGGCACCAGGTGCATTGCCACTCCGACCCGGTGACTTTGAGCTTCATGAACCCCGAGCTGGGGGCCCAGAGTCCCTAAGCGGGACAGGCCACCCGGAAATCCGATATGAACAATATGAGTGTATATTTAATACACACTCATACTAAATATATATATATATATATATAGTATATACAAATGAATGTACACACACATATAGTATATATAGTAGATATATTAGTAGATATCTGTATTACTATGTGCAACCGGTATGCTCAATGTGGGTAGTTGCCGGCGTAGAACAACTGCTGACTAATGACTTACCAAAAAACACCAGCCAACATGGCTGTGTGTCAAAAAGTCAGCATCCTCAGGTGGTGGTTGTGCTTTGGTCCCCCTAACAGGCCCTCCGAATCTGTTCCTGGCGTCGACAAATTCGGATCTTCCGTTCCGAGGTTGGAGAAGCTCTACACCTCCAGCAACGCGGAGGTCATCTGCAAGCGACTGAGGCCAGGGCGCAGGGCGCTCATGTCCAGAAACCACTCACTTGCCATGTGGGTGTGGGTCAAAATTCAACCACTCGGGGACCGCAGGTTTTAGTCCATGTTTCCATTTACAGGGCAAGCCAGTTTGGTTACCTATTTTTGACCCACAGCCATGTGTCTTTAAATTCACACGATAGCTTGGAGAAGCGCTGGTCCCTCAGGCAAATGCTAGTCCCGGCCGAAAGGATTCTGACATTGTATCCAATACGCGTCCTGACTCAACGCAACCCCGGAGGTTCATGAGTTGTTAGGTGCACCTGAAAGTCGCAGAATTTCACAAGCAAACAGGGCAAGCATCATTCCAAGGCTGGGAGATTGCCAAGCCAACCTTTGCGCGTGGTGTTGCTTGTTCTGAAATGTACACATTCATAAGTTTGATGATGAGTCATATGTGTTTCATACTTTTACTTGGACTGCATTTGAAGGATTTGAGCGGGGATTGAAGACCACAGCGGAACGGCACAGCATGTCCGAAACACGGATGAACATTTATGAACTGACGACATTTAGACAGTTAATCTAAATAGCGCGATATGCCAATGAAAGGGAATGATGTGCTCAGCGTCCATTCCGTTGCCCGGTGACCACTATGCCTACAAAAATGGTGGTGGCAGAAGCCGCGGTGACGAATGCTGCTGTACGCGCGCAACAAGCAAGCAAAAAGTCGAACAAAGAAAGAGAGAAATAAAGACATAAAGAAGGAAAGACAGAAAGAAATAATCAACAAAAGAAATAAATACAAAAAGAAAGATCTAAAGAAAGAGATAAACGAAGAAACAAGCAAACACGCATACCAACACACAATGAACAAGTCAAGCAGAGCAACAACAACAAGCAATCAAGCAATGAAGTTAACAAGCAATCAAACTAGCAGACAAAGGCCCATCCAGTGTGCTGAGCAGGCCGATCTGTGGGGCATTGCTTCTGTACGTGCTGATCGTGCCGGGCTGAGATGCACAAGGTAGTTGGACACAATTGTCCGGTTAACCCGCCTGGAATTTGTCAAGGCTTGGTTTCAAAGCTTCAGTTCGCAGGGATGCTGGTTGTGGGGCCTGGTAATTGGAGGATTTTTCCCAGAGCTACCTGGTCGCGCTTTTGTGCCCGTGGGGAGAGTTGAGTGCAGACCAGGGTGTTAAGGGTCAGTTCATGCGTGCATGGTGTAAAAGAAGGTTGTGCTTCTCATCAAGGCTCGAAATGCTTAGCATATGCAAGCAGGATTGCAGGCCTGTCGAAGGCTGTGATTCTGGGTCGAGTCGTTTGCACATGTACTGTGCCTTTGGCAGGGAATGGTGAGGTGCTGTGACCCAAAGGCAACCATACTCCTATGAACTACTTGCTCCAAGAAGCACTGGCCAGAGCGAAAACTGGCGTTGTTGGTTTCATTGGCTGAAGCGTTTTTGTGTTTCACGATATGTCCATTATGTATGTACCATCATGCGCTACTGTCTTGTCTCGTACCTGGCTAGTGTAGATTAGTCAAGTTCATTGATTGTTCATGCATTGGGTTTACCCATAACTTCTTTTGATGCGTGGTGCTTTGTGTAGGTTGCAATCAGGGTCGCCAACACCTGGCTTTTAGGTCTGCGCGTTCTCGGAGCAGCACGATGGCTCCATCGTTCTAAATCCGGCCCTTTTCAAACTGCCCGGCGCTCAGCGCAGCTGACGTCAGTCTCAGTGGACAGCTCGCATGCGACGGGATCATTGCAACTTTGTTCAAAACGCTCCAAACGTCAATCCAGCATAGTATAGTCTCGATGCCTGTTCTGGAGGTCCTTGCGAGTTGGACGGCTATCGCGGATTTCTTTTAACGCGACCTTGTTGTGAAAAACGGAATTCAGAACTTCCCCTTCGTCCTTCATGCTGTGGCTTCATGCGGCTGTCCTTTGCTAACAAGGTTCTCTTGACGTCGTGAACCAACGCATGGGGGCTTGGTTTCTGGTTCTCCGAAGGCTCTCAAACAGAGATGCTTGTCTAATCTACGCCGCATGCCAGGTCTAGCACGGCCAGCATTGTCTACTGCTTTGCGGCTGCCATCATGGTGTAGCCTGGCTGATTGATCAGTCAGCCCTTTGAGTCGGCAATCTTGGGATTGGCGACGCACGCGGCTTTCAACGGGCTTGATTTGCTGCATGATGAAGCGGAGGTCAATGCAGCCCACGCTCAGGTTCCTCACCGTGGCCCTGCTGGTGTTCAGCTTTTTCCCAAGCTTCCAGCGGAGCAAGGTCCTGGAGCCGTGCGTTATCGCCTGGATATTTGTCATCATCTTGCGCCCAGGCTGCACTAAAAACGGGATCCGGGGGGGAGGGGGGGCAGCTCCCTGGCATGGAAATGAATGCTATGTGTCAACACGGGCAGAACTACTATACGGTCGACTGGGATGAACGAGCAACTGCTAGAACAGACTATCTACGTGCAGGTTACTCTTGAGCGGGCGCTAGCACAGCCATCTCATGCCTGGATCCATGCAAAACCACCCGTCAGCAAAGCTGTCTCACCCAACAGTGTTCTTTCTGTTGGGCATCTGCAACACAACCAATGCCTTATTCGGTCAATTCATGTTTGGGACAAACAGCAGATCAAACCCTCAAATCCCACTGTGCACTGAGCTTGACTCTCAAGGCAGGCCAACCTCTCACAATAAAAAGCTTGGAATGCCAAAGCCATGTCTCAAAATTGCGAACTGAAAGCATGATCGCTTGAGCTGGGCAAGAAGTGGGCGCCTACATAATTTTCCTTGGCACACAGCTCCCCGAAGGAATGCAGTGAGTCATGCATAATTTTGAGTGTTTGCCTGGGACACTGCAAGGGGGAGTCAAGGCCATGTTCATCTCAAAGTGATCGCGCGTACAGGTCGTGGAGCACCCAGGCATACTAAGGCCTATGCTTCACAAGAGCAAAAAGGTCGTGTCTGCACTGTCACAAGTCACGAACCACCTCAAATAACAAGGGCTCGGGCACAGGTAAGCCAAGCGAAAAGGATACGCAGCAAAAGGGCACAGGAGTGCTCGTCAGGGCTCAGTTTTAAACTGGCAAGCTCATGCTAGGGCGAACACGGATTGGTGCCAAGGGGTGCAAATCACTGTGTGAGGGAGGACATGGGACCTGCTCACATGAAAAAGGTTGTGGCTCAGCAGTGCCGAGCTAAAACACGAAAGTAGCTGGACCTGCTTTCTCGAAAAGGGTGGCTCAGCACAGGGCGATCATCTCTGCGTGCCACCTCTGTGCTTTAAGAAAATCACAGTGGCAGCATATGTTGGCCAAAGAAAAGTTTTTGTAAACCACGGCCTATGGTGCCAAAAATGAAAGCAAAAGGGGCCGTGGCTGCACTGTCATATCGCACAGATTTACTCAAATGCAAAAGGGCGCATCACAAGGAATGCCAAGCGAAAAGGGAGCGTTTATGAGGGCTAAGTTTTACACTTGCAAGCTCATGCTAGGATGGGACGGGTCGTGGCTGCACTGTTCCAAGACACGCACCTGCTCATATGAACAAGGCACGGGAGCGAGAACGTCAAAATAACCAGACCTGGCTTCTGCAAGAGGGTGGCGCATCAAAAGAAGGTCATCTCTGCGTGCCACACATGTGCTTCAAACAGGCACAGTTGGTGGTATGTGTTGGCCAAAGAACAGCTTCTGCAAACTAAGGCCTATGGTGCCAGCTATTAAAATAGTTTGGTCGTGGCTGCACTGTCACAAGACACGGACCTGCTCAAATGCAAAAGGGGCGGCACACATATGTCAAGCGAAAGAGTGGCTGCTGCAAAGGGCTAAGGTAGCGACGATCAGGGCTAAGTTTTAAACTTGCAAGCTCATGCTAGGGCGGTCACGGATTTGTGCCCAAGGCGTGCATCACTGTTGTCAGGGAGGGCATTGGAAGGGTCGTGGCAGCACTGTAGGCCATGTTCTGATAGCCCAGGTGCGGCTGGGTATTCTTCTACCGCTGGACCTTGGCCGCCTTCAACGGACGGCGCATTGGAACGGGTTGCATGATAGCTGCCTGGTATCCCATAAGTGCAATGCGACCGGACTGCTGTATTGAGGCCCAGTGCCTAGCATCTATGGAGATAAATGCAATTCACAGATTGTTCGGTCTTTTGACGGAAGTTGTCCCAAGGCAAAGCGCAAATCATGACGCTGGCTCATATGTTGGACGCGTGACATGTAAAGCAATCGCCCAATCACGGTAGTTGTCTAAGACAGCGAGCCTGCAGGCTTAGAGTTTCTCACGTTACACCCATGGTGGAGGCACTGCTACCTTTGACACCCTTGAAGCAATCAAGAGTTAGTGAGTTTGTGCCATACCCAACAGCACATGTGCGGACATGTTTTCTTCGGTGTTGAAACAAAGCTTGCCGCAAAGGCGGAAGTTGTATGGGTAGGACGGGATCCCGAGCGGGAGTTTGTCTCCAACGGCTTTGATGGCAGCCCGGCTGCAGTCCTGCCGCTTTTCCCCTCACTGGAAGCAAGTCGGGGAAGGGGTCGCCCTTGCGCATGCCGGCCACCCCAAACTCAGAAGGCCTGCCGGACGAGTTTCAACACAATAATCTCAACTTTTTGGGGAAGAGGTTTGAGGACAGCTCGGCTTATTCAATTCCTGTCCCTGTTCGGGTATCAACCAAGTTTTTCCTGGGATCTACACAAGACACATGAATGCGCAAACAAAAGCACGACACCTTTTGTAACGAGGCTGCAGCGCCTGCTGAGGCGAGTACATTGCCAGCCTTGAGATTTTTGCTGTCTACTTCTGCATTCACACGCCTTTGCGCTTCAAGGCAAGGTCTTTCCTTGGCTTGCTTGGATGCTGTTTTCGCCTTTGAGGCGCCTGGGTACTCGCAATCCCCAACATTGGGCCTAGGTTTTGGAATCTCCCTGAAAGACGGCCTGGCTGAATGAACTGCACGGGACTCTTTGGTGAGAAGGACCACAGACAGCTGGTGCTTGACTAGGAAGCCCATGGAGGGTCTAGGACATTGGAAGGTGCGTGTTCTTTATTGCAGTGGCCAACCAAGCAGTTCTTATGCATAGCCATGCATCGCTTGTTTTTGACAGCTGGTCTGACTTGTTTGCTTGTCACTTTGCAAGGGTGCTGGCAATGCTTTCTGTAACTTCCTGACATCTCATGACTATTCACACGGCCGGCGATGAGTGGCCAACAGAACTCCATGAGCTAGTGAACAAGTGAGGCGTCGTTCTCCCGTGCACCTGGCTCCATACTCGCTCCCTAGCTTCCTTCCGCCCAGCTGCTGGCTCCCCTGGTGGCGCCCTTGCCCTTTCTCTACTTGGCCCGGGCCGCGGAAAGCTGGCACATGGCGTTCAGACAGCCGCCTGTTCAATGGAAGCGTGTGCTCTTTTGCCGGACAGCTGGCATTCCCCGAAAGTCCCTGCGCGTCTTAAGGCATTTTTGTCACATGAGCATAGTGTATAATATTGCATAGTATTGTTTGTACTTTCTTCAGATCATTCTGCAGGACGCCTGCCCGAAGTGTTCATGTTGCAAACTGTACCAGACTTTCACTATAAGTGATTTTCTCGCTCTGTCGACAGCGTAGTGGACTGGGGTGAGTGGGAGGTGGGGAGTGTTTATAGGAGCTGGGAGTTAATAACGTTGTTTGGACGCTTGCCGGGATCATACTCTGACAGTCATTTTTTTGGTATTGTATGTGAATTCATGCCATGGCTCCATTTATTGGTTCCGACCGTGCAATTCCAGAGCAACAGGAAACACAACTTCAAACACCCGGAAGTGTTTGATTGCATTGTGTTTCCTGCAATGCATCATCCCTGATGAGGCATCAAATTCATATGCCACGGTTTACAAGTCTGGGGTTGTTTTCAGTTATCAGCCCATGCAAGGGGTTATCACTGCGATGGTCCTTCCAGCCACCCCACTGGAAAACTTCTCAGGAGCCTGTTCGGCATGATTGCTTGACAGAAATGGAGACTACCTGCTCAACTAATTTGGCTTGTTTGCTCTGTCTCTGAGCAAAAAGACATGTTTGGCTAGCGGAAATTTGATTTGTTGGTTGGATGCTGCCGTTTCTGCATTGCCCCGGGTTGCTTTGTTTGTTCCAAATGGCTTTAACATCCATCTCATTTGCTCCTTCCAAAACACGCTTGATTCTTCATGGCTGCGGAATGTCCCACGACCTGAACAAGGCCAATGAGTTTGGGCGATCTTACCAGATTGAAACATGTCTGTTTTGGAAGAACAATACCATGGATTGCTGGCCAAGTATCAGACAGTGATTCCTAGGGTCAAGCACATGCTTGAGATGTGGAGCATTGTGCCGGCGATTTCCTCTCGAAGGAGTTTGCGTTTGGGAATCTGACAGGACTTTGTAGAATCCATTTAATTACGGCAAAATGACACCGTTTCAACACATGAGACCCCACAGTTGTCGTCACGACACAAGCATCCCCTGGAGTGGATCAGAACCACTCAGGGCTGGTGTTTTCGTTTCTTTTGTGGGGACCAATTCTTGGGGAGGTGTTGGCAAATGAGTTCATCCATCCGTCCGGAGTCGGCCGCCCCGAGGCCACGGTGCTTTGCTTCGGGTCTCCCGAAGGCATGCAGCATCACCAACTGCACGTCATCCAAGGCCATGGGCGAAGCTGGTGAGCTGTTTTGTTGTTTCCCCAGCGAGAATGTGGGAAGCAAGAGCTTTGCTGCCCATTCAAGTGAGGCTTCGTCATGGATGCGCGCGTGTCCACGCAAACCGCCTCAACTCGTGCGCTCTTCTCCCCCAAATCAGTTGCCCACCGACATGTTGGGCATGCAACGCCATTCAATCGCTTAACACGGATAATTTCATGGAATAGTGCATTTCAATTGTGAGATGCAATGCTGGTGCTGTTGTGTTGGGTATTGTTTGTTGTCTTAATATTTTATGAGTTTTATGCCTTTGATGAACTGCAAACACATTTATGCCAACTTGGTCTTCTGCAGCCTTTTTAATGAAAGCAGGCACTTGGCTGGTTCAGCATTGCTTCCGCGGGTGAACCGCACGCTTTACACATTCCCAGGCCCTTTCGCCCTTTTGGGTTTCCTGCTTCATTTTATTTTATTTTCCTCTTTGACCAGGCAAACGATAACTTTCTGCACTGGGTCTAGGTCTGGCCCAGTAATTACACGGCACCTTTGTCACGCGATTCGGCAGGCGAGAAGGTTGGGCAGTTTGACTTCCTTGCAGACGAGCTTGAGCTGTCCTTGCTGATGCTACCGCCTTGGAATCCTAACTTGGGGAATCCTCTCAAATCCCGACGTGTCGGAAGAAAATGGCACCCCCCTCAAAGTTCGACCGACGAAAACTGGTTGTTTATCCTAAGCAGTGTACAAAAGAATCAGAGATAGTACAGTGCCGAATCATCCTTTACCACTTGGCGTCAAGTGCTGTGCTGGCTTTCATTTGTCGGGCTGTGGGAGATTCCGTCCACCCTGCTACACAAGCATCACGTACTTGCAAGGCTGCACTCCGTTTTGAATGGTTAGCAAAGAAAGCAGTGGTGTTCTGTCTTGTGCTGTGCCTGGGCCTTATCTCTGGATGCATGGCCTGCAAGATTCCCTGGCTCAGTGGTGCCCATTTTGGTTGTCGTGTTTGTACACATTTCTCCCAAAACATGGGATGGCATTGGAGTGTTGGAATGAGGCAGAAATAGTGGCATGGTGCAGGAATGCTGTTGGAGTGGCCCAGCAATAGAGGGGATACTGTGTAAATGAGGCCGAAATGGCTTGGGCGTGCATTCATGAAGCTCTCCTAATCTGCCTTGTTCCTGCCATGTTCGATCATTCAGTGTGGCGATCAGCCCTGCTGTGGCAAGGATCACTGGACCCGCGAAGCTTCAAGAATCCAAAACAGTTGAGGAGACCTCCCTTGGGAACCTTTGTTTTTTGTCAGTTTGAAGGGAAACCAAAAGGACAGCCACCCATTTCTGGCGGTCCCAAACCATTGAATGAGAGAGCCCGTATGTTCCAGCATGCCGAAGGGCGAGGCCCATGGGGACCCACCCGAGGGCGCTGCTGCTCTACCTGGTCCTTTGGGGGAAGTACGTGCACGAACGCCAGGGCCCCAAAGTGCCAAAGTGCCAAAGGGTCTGGGCCAATGGCTTTAGTCAGAAGCATAACTAGGTCCCCCAGTAGTACCCTTTTACCCTTTTTTGGTTGGGAGGGTTCCCCTACTAAAATAGACTACAGAGAAAAGTTGGTACCCTTATGCTAACCTCTCTACTGGAGAACCTAGATCAGGTTTTCTTTCGAGAAACATCCCATTTGGCTGCAGGTCATGGGTTCTTGGCCTGCGCTTGGCAACCATGGCTAAAGAGCCATCAACAGGGACCTGGGAGCGCACCTTTGCATGGTTGTTATCTGTTTTTCTTGTGGCAGCTCCGCTATTCAAAGGCAAGCGCGTTGATTCTTGCGTTGCCATGTGAGGCATTTTGTGGCATGTCTTTCTTGGAACGAAGGAAAGGCTTGGGCAGCACCGTACCGAGCAAATTTCTGAAATCCAGCCGAGTCTTGCGATTCAATTGCGCAGCTGTGTACCGGAAAGACATGGAGAATGGCAGATTCAGAGAGCCACCAACCAGCAACCCTATGGCACTGCCATTCTTTTAAAAACCAATACCCCAATTCATTCCGTGCCTTTCCAACAGCTCATGGGGTATGTGGGATTTTTGGCACGCCGAGGATCCTCGCGGACCTCTTTCTTATCCATGTGGGAGTCCTTCCAGATGGACACTTTGCTGCACTCGTGAGTTGGTGGCGGGATGCAGGGTGATAGCCCTGGCCACAGCGCCTCTGGAAATGCGGGGAAATGCTTCGACGCTTTGATGACCTCCAACAGGCCTGGGGTGCTCAAAATCCGAGAATTCCTTTTTGGTGTGAACGTTTCTGCCATCTCCAGTCAGCCAAGCCTCCAGACATATATCCGCCATGCCTGGCCGATGCGCCCTAGGTCCACACCAAGGAAGGTCCTTTCCAAAGGAGAATGGGCAAAGCATTTTCTCTCAGGTTCCATGTTGCCTTTGATTGCATCCCTCGCCCAGGTACAAGAGCTCAGTGGTCAAGACTCTTCTCAGGCACGGGTGTCGCGTGGTGCTGCCAGGTCGGCAAGCAGTTCTATTTTTGAGGCAGCTTCTGCCTTTTTTTAGCCAAGGCTACAGCATGCTAGTACAATGCTCCAGGAATTTAGGATGATAAGGTCAGATTGCTTTGGCCAGGTTCCGCTTCTATTGCCCCAAGAGTGCGGTCATTGGAGTTGAATGCACTCCAAAAAACAATTGGACCACTATTGTCCAGTCAGATTGGCATTTCGCATCGTAGGAGTGAGATCTCATGCAGAACCGTCGTGCATGATGAGATTGGCTCTTGACAAATTACATTTGCATACAGTCTGTAGAATCTCGTTGTTGCAGACAGGTACCCCTTGAAACAGTGCAGTATGCTGCCATCAGGGCTGGGTTGTTCGGATTCTAGCAGCATGAAGCGATGCGTATCAGCAAACTAGCGTTGTTTGACTTTCAGAAGAGCAACTAAAGTAATAGGACCTATTTGCGACGTGGGTTGCTTGGCAGTGCATTGGCTGCTTTGCTCATTTAAAATTGTGTGCAACACCAGCCCCGAGCCACATTCATCTGGAAGCATATTGCATGTGTGGTGTGTACACTGGATGCTATATATATATATATACACAGTATACATGATATTAGATATATGCAGATAACAGTAATGACATTATATTCAATATACACGCACGTAAAATAAAACATGGTATACCTGTTTGATTAAAGCTTGGACAACCTTGAGTGCATCACCAATCTCCGTGCCCCGCGAATGCTCAGCGCAGGCTGCCACAGGCGTGGGCAAGGCGTGTTGTTTCGGGAAGCGGTGCCAGTTCGATCTTTCCAGGCACATGCCAACGGCGGGGTGTCCTCAACCAATCACCAGAAAAGGTTCCCCAACTCTGGGGTCGTCCTCAAGCAATCACCAAAAAGGTTCCCAAATAATCTTCAACTCAGGTACGGCAACCTGCGACAGGGCGGGGCAACCGGGATCGCGGCGAGTACTCTTTCAGTCAATTGGATCGCGTCGTGGGTCGAGGGCCACGTTGGAGTGAAGCTGCGGCTCCCAGCGCGTTTGGCGCGTGTTGGGGATGGATCTGCCTGTGTTGTGTCAAGACAAATTGTTGGTTTGCTTTTGCCTGAGAGATCAGCCGGTTTCGCCTTGCCTTTGGGCAGAAGGGAGAGGAGCGCCACCTTTTGGTAGATCAACAGCTGATCTTCTTTGGTCTCAGTCCTAGCTGTTTGACTCGGTGACAGATACAAGCTTGTGTGCCCTTGTGAACAGCCACGGGTTGCCGCTCAAGCCAACCAAAGCCATCAAATTGTACACTAGCTCCAGGAATCACACAAGTATATGTCCATGGGCATCCTAGATTGGCTTTTCAATCAGGCAATTCCTCCATGCCCTGTCAATTCAACTACCAGTGAGGCAACTCGCCATTCCCCGCTGCTTGCACTTGGCGAGCTTTGCTTTAACTTCGAGCTTTGAAGCAAAAGTCATCGTCTATATCCAACCAAGCCCCTGAACCACCCCAGGCCAACAAGCATGAGTACCACCCCATAGCGGCTTTTGGAGGCCAGCGAGGCTCTGAGGCAGGCGCTGGCGAAGCTGGACGCACTGGCTTCGTGGCTCGGCCCACCAGAGACGGCTTCAGCATGCTTTTCATGATGCAAAAATCATGGCCTCGGGGCCCATTCCACGTTTCGAGTCTCAAGGCTTTAGAAAGCTTCACGCAACGCGCTCAGGATGCAGACTTCGGTGGAGATCAGCGAATGCGTGGTCCCGGCCTCGGCTGAGCCAGACTGACGGATGGTTTCGGCATGGCTCTGACACGTTATGATCTTTTAGGAAGCTCCTTGAAACTCGCAGGGGATATAAATTCCCAGCGAAGTGAGGTCCACCAAAGGGTAGCAATTAGAAGTGTAATATCCTTTCATGTATGAAGCGCCTCAGTGACTGGAGGACGCAATGACACCTGTAGCCACTTGACACAAGAAAGCTGCTTGGCTGACAGAGCGAGTGCTTGACCAGCATATAGCATCACAATGCCACACAATTGTCATGCAAGACAAACGTTAATTAAATGCCTGATGTGTAGTTCCTGCCCAGTCCGTGTCGGGTCGCCCAGTCTTTGGTGAGCTCCTTTGTTCTTCCCGCACTTCCGGTTGCGCCGGGTCCCCGCTAGGTCCTGGCCAAGAGCAAAGTGGAGCTCTCACGCCGAATCCTGCAGCGAGCTGATCAACTCTTCGAGGTGCGACCTGAGTTAATGCGTTGCGACGGTGGTACGTTTGGTTGCTCTAATTACTAGTGGTCGATTTGTTGTTATTGCTTTACTAGCGATTGATTCTCGTATACTTCTTTGCTCCCGTTGTTAGTAAACTGAAACTGCATTGACCGTGGTGCTGTCTTTGTAGGATTCCCATCCGCTTTGATTTGGGTGGGCATACCGAATACAGTGGCCTTCACAAGGCCACAGGCTCTCCAGCGGACGAGAGTGGGTTTGACAGAAAGCCTTCACATCGGCAAGTTTATTTTCGGGGCTGAGCCAAACACAGCGCGGCACCGCAAGGTCAACGCAGAGGATGCGCTCAAAGGCACAGGCCATGACGACAATGCGGAGCTGAAGGCCTCGCAGAGCATGCGTATCACGTATGACACAATCAACTTGGACACCTCGAAATGGTGGTCCAATGAAAAATGTGTGGATTCCTCTTGGTTTCCCCTTACCCCACTCACACAAGGGCAGCCTCAAGAAGCAACAAACCCGCCTGTTGGGTAAGTTGGCTGCTGTTTGGCCCAAGATGAGAGAGGGAGTTCTGCGCGGGTTTGCAGAGCATGAAGGGTAGGTCAATTGGGCTTGGCAACGCAAATGTGATGCGTGTAAGTATGCATGTAAACATATATAGATGTGCAACAAAACAAGCATCGTGTTGTTATCCCGAAGCGATGCTGGCAATTCTCTGCAATGAGCAGTGCTGGCAAAGGCTCTTATGCCCATGTATGAGCCAATGCAAGTCTCACTCGCAATGCCTGCGTTGCACAGGACTTCATCTCAGCCAACATGGGCAACCTTTCGTCCTTCATCGGCAGCGAAGACTCGAATGCCAGGCGGTTTGAAGTTGTGCTGACTACCCTGCTCCACTGCCTGCGGCTTCTCCAGACATGCTTATGCGTGCTTAGTGGTTTGCTTGGTTCTTTATGCCTGGTTTGTTAGCCAGTGGTCACGGTTGACGCTCACCAATTGGGGCTCACGATAGGCCCTTGCCGCAGGATTTCCATGGGGGACGAGGACCTTTCAAAGCTGTCCGCAGGCATCAAAGACTCAGCAGCTCAGCTGGACTAGTGGAACTGGTAACCCACCCAGTCTCGCAGATGTTTTGCACCTTGTGAACAGATAGCTCAGATAGCTACGTAAGTTTGTGTTGACTTGCACGCTGCTCGCTAACAGCTAGGGAAAACTGAGAGGTGGGGCGTGGTTGCCCCCGCACTCCACGTCTTGTTTCATGGACCGTGTAACTTTTACATAGTCAGGCAAGCATTTGGATGCTCAATTGGAGAGAGAGGATTGATATCCTTGTGCCAGAGGATTGGTTTATGTAGGACAATTTTCAGTTGCCCGCAACTCATGCTGGGCTTTGCTGACTCAGGTGAAAGTGCAGGACGGGCCAAGCAGAGAGGCAACATGACTTTGATTCCAACTCTCCATGTTCAGGATATTTAGCACTCGTCTGGTGACACTTGCGGGTAGGGGACGGTCGCCTTCCAAAGCTTCCTGTCAGGCTTGACGATTGAGCAGAGGAGCTGGTGTTTTATAGTTCCAGGCACTTAAGCTTCGCCTTTTCTTAGGCACAACTTCTGCTCGCAAGCTTTTCAGGAGGCAGCTGAGCTGGCTCCTGGCTGGGGTGCAGATTGGAGCGGAGAGGGGAGGCTGTTGCTTCATTGGAAGGTCCTAGGCATTTTCTGGTTCCATCTAAAAGGTTCTGGGACTCTTGCAACTTGCAACCCGGGCATCAAGGTCCGCCGGTGCAAAGCCCGAAGCACATGCAAGTTAAGCCTCCTCCAACCAAAAGCCAGGCAGGAGCATATCACATTCTTGGTAAGCCCATAAGCTGCTGTTTGGCTTTGATTACGTTAAATCTTGGAGGGGTTATTTGACAATTTGAGAATATCGGCGGTCCTGGGAGGGGCAAGACAGTTGGCTGAGAGCCCCTTCATGCGTACTAGAATCTAGTTCAAAGCGAGCTGCTTTCTGCCAGGGTGCATGTCATGCAGCACCTCTATGACAAACCTCTTGTCCAATGAATCTTGTCCCAAGCTATACTTCCCAAACATGTTGCTTGCTAGACTGCAAGGTGCCGTCAAAACATCACTTGCTTTCCCACCCAATTCGAAGTGATTCGTCCACAGGTTTTAGGCGGCGGCATAGATGGAAGGGCTGCCGATCTTGTGCTTGCACGTGCTGGTCTGGTTTGTTCAACAGTTTGGATTCGCGCCGACTGACAGAGCCATTCATCAAAGCTTGTACGATTAGTGCCACTTTGTTTTAGTTGTGGCTTTGCAGCGCTGACTGGTGTGACGGGAAGTGGTATTTCATTTGGTTCCGCAATAAGCTCTCGCTCCGTTTGCACAGCACCTACAAGTATCTCCAGCACCTGAATATGATTGTTCAACAACAATGATCAAACATGTGTCCATCAGCTGACTGTAGCATTGAACCCTGCCATGACGGTCTCAGGATGTTCAGCGCAAGGGTTGGGACCTCAAGCTTAGAGCAGTTTCGTCCAACAGCAGATAAGTTCAGAGGGACGTTCTGATTTGGCGTTTGTTTGGCAATGTGCAGGGACCCTCGAAAACCCTTCTCGTTTTTTTTTTTTCAATGAACGGCTCGGCGGAGGAGTTTCAGCGCGTTGGAGTTGGGCTATGCAACCAAGGCAGGTCCAGTGGAAGTCACTCCGGCCGTGTTGGCTCCGACAATTCGTTGCTCGGGCCCATGAGGTTCTAGGAAGTAGGAACTTACCCATTTGAACATGCTACCGTTCAACGGGGTAGTCCTGGGCCGTTGACCTGCAGTTGGCAGGCTTCCTAATGTGTCAGCCCAGTTTAGATCGATGGGTCAATGGCTCTACTCTAACGCTTGAGTCCCTGCAGCATAAATCTACTGGCGAGATCATGACTTGTTATACTACTTGCAATGTAGCGGCTCCTGGCTTGCTTGGCATGGGCAAGCTGGAGTTTGGAAAGCGGGTTGTCACTGAGTGGCTACGGCAAATCTGCCTCATGGAAATTCAGGAGGGACATATCAGTCGAAACCACTCCGTGTGTTGACATTCGTGGCAACACGGCTTGGTTTGCAACAGGGCGGGCAGATATCCGAAAGAAGAGACTGCGATCCAGAGTCTCACCAGGTTCACCCTAAGTTTGGGAGACATTGGTGAGCTTGACCCCCCTCCCCCTGGTTTTCCGCTGTTTTTAACTCAGGCAGCAGGCATACACAGTTCAGCAAGGGAAACACGGGGAAAATCGTGCAACAGCTTGGAAGTTGGTCTACAGATTTGCATGTGTTTTCTCCTACGCAACAGTTTCCGTGAGCTTCACATGCTTGTTTAGTTTGAATCCCCACGCTTTCGATGTGGGAGCTTTCTGAATGTTTGTATTTTCAACGGCGGGTTGGGGAAGCTGCGTCAGAGATTTCGACTTGCTGCCGGTCAAGTGTTTGTTGCAACCAGAAGCGCCACAATCATTTGTTGCTTGTCTAGATGTGTTAGGGCAGGGAAGCAGAGGCGGAAGAAAAGACATGAACGGGTTGCACCTTCCTCCATGAACAGAGCAGCGATAGCAGCTTTGTTTCATGAGCCGGGAACACCTAAAATAGCACTGTACAACTCTGAAGGAAGTTCTGCTTTGTACGAGAAGGGAAGTGCACATCGTGTTCAGGCAAGAGATCGCAAGAAAAAGATGACAAGTCAGAAGCCTGCAAAGATGATCAAACATGGTTAAACAGTAGGGAGGTGTGTCCAATGGTCTCAGCATTGTGGGTTGCAGTCCTTGACCAGCAAAGGTGGAGCTTCTCCGTTTCAAACACGCTCTTGTAAGTATGGAATGCCGACAGCACACATGTGAATCATGATACTTGCCGCGTCCCACGCAATGGCAGGACCCTCCATGTCTGGTTTCCAATTTGTTGAACATGCTTTGGACCTCCAACAATCTTTGGGCCTATGACAAAGACAGCAGTTTTACACTGACGTTCATTTGGTTATGGATGAAGACCCAGATACCGGTATACAAATTACACCAAAGCCACATAGGTTGTCCGTGGACTTGCAGGCTATTTGCTGACGGCTATTTGCAATCAACCCGTGCTTGCCACAAATTTTGGGTCGGCGACTTCCAGTAGGCTTGTCGAGCTGCGAGGACCATGCCTGCATTTTCGCGGGCGAGCTGGCGCTGGTGCAGCCGGATAGCGCAGAGAAGGGAGGCATCGGATAGCTAGGCACCTCCAGACGCGAAGACTTTGAGAAGCCTCAGTCGCCTTTTCAGGGATGCTTGCTAGGTTCACAGTCCTTTGGAAGGGTAGATGCATATGAACACAAGAAATCAATCTCTGATTTGTACACATGTTCCGACGTGAGATGCACCAGGTCCACGGGACCCGTGAAAGGTAGGTTGTGCCTTGAGCGTGTTTTTTTTTGTTCCCATGTGTTTCCTCGGAACCACACCGGACAATTGTGGTGCTTGAAGTCCCTTCGGATCCACAAGTTACGGATGAAACCCATCGTCGAACTCGACCGGATGCCACTGTTTCGTTTGGCCCAGAGCCATGGTTCCTGGATTGTCCGTTCTTTTCTGTAGGTGTGGGAAACCTTGGGCGCGACTTGATGCATGGTCTGCGAATACGACACTCGCTTGCAAAGGACCCTCTACCAGATGCTGGAAGACAAATGTGGCCTCAAAGTGAAGCAAACAACGCCAATCTTTCCCTGAAAAATGACATGCGCAACATGCTCATACAAATACCCTTTGTCGTCCAAACCCAACCTTTTGACCTCGGTGTTGTATTCATCTCTGCGACACTCAACAGCTGCAGGTCAGGCCATTGCGACATCCTAGCCAGCATTGCATCCAGAAGAGAGTGGGCAGTGGCCTGAGAAGAGGTGCTTTGACATTGCGCCATTGGGCAAATCAGCAGCGGTTTAGCCCAGACGCACAATCCTGCGTGTTATTGCGTGGCCGTTGCTAGATGACTGGCATATCCCGTTTTTGGTGCGCCACAAATGCGAGAAAATGAATCAAGCAAGCTCTTGCAGTCAAGCCGACTGAGGTCCGCGCCATCCACGCGCGGTACTTGCCAAATAGCTATCACAACGAGGCACATGCGGCGCAGGCGGGGGTGGTGTCTTCGAGACTCCTCAGAGGTTGCGGTGAAGGCATTGATTTACTGAATACCAGGGTCTTTCTTTTTTCATTGGTTGTCTAGTATTGTTTCTGTTCTGTTTTCATAAATATCAACTCCGTTGCGACCTGCAGCTTCGTCAACGTTTCAGGGAGCATTCTGTCTCCGTCTCGCCTACTGGGTTGAGCTTCCGGCCTTGACTTCCGCCATTCGGAGCTCAGGCAGCGCAGGTGGCTGTGCCTTGTGTTGGTAACGTCGTATGTTTTTTTGAGTTTAGGCATGGCCCAAGCTATATTTGTTTGAAGGAGAGGTGTGACTATCTATCATCATCAACATGTTTGCCTGATAAATGTGGGCGCATACCATGCACATTCCGCATGGCCATATTATGCCAGATTTTCCTGATACCGTGCTATGGATACTTTGGGGGCCTGCTCCAACAGTACAGATAGCTAAAGTTGGCCTGAACATGAATGTAGCACACTCCAACCTTTCGGCAGTATATACATTGCGTCTTCTCGCAGCGCGCAACGTTGCTAGAAAACTCACCCCGCCTCTACCACTTACTTTGAGATCAGGTTTCATGTCATTCCGATTGTGCTGCGCATCGTGCATGCGACGGACAGGTGAGCCACTTTTGCTACTGGTTTGCCAAGCAGCCGTGCGCTTAGACTCCAATGGCCACCCGCCTATTGTCGGGGGCTGCCTTTCATAGAACGCTTGTGGACCCGGGAGTCAGAAAGCGAAGCCCTCAGCATGTTTTCTCTTTGCTGCTTGAAGAAGACCATTTGTCTACTCATATTGACGCGTAGAGGCACACTGCGGAATGGGTCACGCGGAAGCATTTGCCTCATGTTATTGGTCATGGATGGACGTAGGCACATGAGCCTAGTCAGCATCCCATGCGCACATTCAATCTGGCTGATGGTTGTAGAACGCTCTGCCCCTTTTGGATTGAAGTGTTGGACAAGCTCGGGCTTGGTGTTAGGCACCACTACACACGAGGGTTGCGGGTTCCCAGATCCAGCCTCCTGCACACTTTCTGTTTGGGGCATCAAATTGTGCTTGGCTCGCGCGCCCGCGCGCTCTCGCGGGTGGCCGTGTGTGTCTGTGTGTGTCTGTGTGTGTGTGCGTGTCTCATTCCTCGGCCCTTCCTGATGCATCGTATTGCTCTACACGTCTCTTTCTAGCCATTGTCCCCTGCTCGCCTGCCGCAAAGGTTCATTAGTCTTCGTTGCTTCGCCACCGGCTGATTTGCGAAGGATATGTTATTTTCCCACAAGCAGGGGCCCCACAGCCAGAAATATACGCATGGTGTTTCTTGCTCATGTCTAGGCCTGGCAGAGGCCTCGGCCTTTGCTCCGATCGTCTTGCGTCCGGCTTGAGGACCGGATGGCTGGACAAGGCGAGCCGCGCCCCAGCCCAGACGGAGGAACGGGTATGTGGTTTCATGGTTGCATGAGCTGCTCACAGCTGGAAATTCCAAGCAAGTTGCACGTTAGATCAGAATGTATGTTTTTTGCAGTGTCACCCTTTTTGGGTCTATTCCCTTGTGTTCCCTGCGTGCATTCATTTTGTCGGTGAAGTTCACCCGTGCTGGGTTCTTGTGCCACCAACAGATGTGGCGAAAGCAATGTTCAAACATCCTTGTTTGGAAAATGAGCTGTGGCTGGCAGGTCTCTTTCGTCGACTCGCTCCCTTGGGTTTGCGGGGTCAACTCGTGGTGCCGTCTAGATTCTAGGGGTGGGGGTCTGTGGATATTCAGATTTCCCCATGTCACATCTTTGCCTGTGGATATTCGGATCCTGGGGCCCTATAAATGGGGGTCTAGGGGTGGGGGGTCTGTTGTCTGACGGAGTGACATCCCCATTTTTCGGGGCTGAGGCGTGCAGAGCTGCGCGCTGCTTGTGGCGGCCTTGGCCCATGACGTGGGCCACATCGGCCGCGGGGGACTTGAGAGCGAGCGCCGAGCGCGTGAAAAACCCGAGGGGTGACTTGGGAGCGCGTTTACAGAACGGGGCTCTTCACCAAAAAGGCGGGGTGGTGTCCTTTCGTTTGGTTTGCTAAGGCTGGGAAACCATGAGCCATGTGCAACCTGATGGGTTGCAATGTGTTGTTACATCGATCATTTTCAGAGTAACATGGAAGCCATGAATGTGGGTTATGTGCGGAGGCGCTGCCTGTTGGAGCATGCCATCACGGACTGTGTACCCGCTACACCTGAAGATATGGCCATGGTTCAAAACCAATCGTACCATTCTGGGATAGGTGCACCACCCATTTTAGTCTATTTTAGTGGGGATTGGGATGTTCACTAGGGGTACGGGGTTTTGACCCATGGCCATGTATATGCCTCTAGTGCTTAGACTCGCCTCAAGTAAAGTGCACGACTTACAATGCTGGCAGCAAATCAGCAATTGAAGCTGCAACATCTCAGTGACTGCCGACGGTTCACCGGGCAAGGGTCTTATGGCATTTCGGGAAAATGGCTCGTTGCATTCTGCACCCAGGCACCAACCTCTTTTGCATCAAGGCTGGAGCTTGCAGTTGCAGGGTTCATGTTTGCATGCTGTTTGAGTCGGTAGCTTCCCTCCAATTCTTGCGGAAGCTGACAGGTGCCTTTTGAAAGACTGCCCTGCTCTGATTTTTGGGGGCACAAGCATTGGAGGGATGCAGAGTCTGCGGAAGACTCTTTGGCTATCCTGCCGCTCTCAAAGGAATGTAATTAACACTTTTCAGCGGAAGGATGGGAATTCACACTTTTCATGTAATAAACACTTTTCCGCTCCCAAAGGAACCCGGTCTTTTTCGGGTTATTCCAAAGGTCCACAACGATTCTGCGTTGAAAGGGGCCGCGCGTCCCGCACAGGCCCAGCACAGCTTCTCGCTGATTTGGAACGAGGCGGCACCACTGGAGAACATGCATGCCAGGGGCCCAGGGAGCGTTAGGCTTGCCTCCGGACAGGACTATCAATGTAAACAAGGGAACATTTTGCTGGGTTTGGACTTTCCAGTGGTGATACCTGGGAGTTTTCTGTCAGGAACGCTGTACTCCGAAGGGGACCCATGTCACTTGGTTGTACGCTTGCTCTCACTTGGGCACATGAAATGGGGCCGCGAACCGAACGTGACGTAGGCGGTCCTTCCATCGGGGTGTCCCAGTTTCGAAGCAGTGCGCTGGCCCAGGCCGCCACTTGCTTTGCCACCATGCAGGGAGATGCCAACGTGCTGGCAGGCATGGATGCCGCCACCAGGAGCCGCACCGGGCCATCACCGGGACGTTGGTTTGCTGACAAATGTGCAGGCTCAACTCTAGCGCGGATGCCCAGTACCAGTTCCCTGAAGCCCTTCAATCGCGGCCGTCAAAAGCAAATCCAAGATTCAGCCAGGTGGAGCTTGTTCAAGCCCTGGTCCAGATCCCCCTTGGTACTGACCCTATGAAATGGGGAGGGGTTGGGCCCATGCATTTTATGGGATACCACCGCCTTAAGGCTTCGGACCACGCCTCAAATTCTGACACTCAGTTGCAGAATCCCTTGCTCAGCTCGGTTCCGTCGAGGCATTTCTGGAGGGTGGGGGTCCGAAGCCTCAAGTGCGGCGCACTTAAGGTCTGAGCACATTGTCCTTAAGATGCCCTCAGGTACTCAAGGTCTAGAATGGGAAACCGCTAGGGGTCCAGAATCGTCCCATGAGCATTTTAGACCCTGCTAGCGAAGCCAATTTAGACCCTATACCATCAGAACCCACCAGAGATCAGACAGATGCTTGCCGTACAAGAGTGCATAGAGCTAAGCAGCTTCGGCCAGCCCATTTGAGAAACAATTGCAACTCACCAGTTTGCGCGAATGCGCTTAAATTCAAAAACACCCTCGTGTGGAAGTGCTAGGTTTTTTCGCTAAACAGAAAGCAGGCCTATGTCTTGGCGCCAGCCCAGCCAAGTCAGGAAGCCGCATATCAAGACGGTAGGCAAAAGGCGCTCGCTTTCGGTTCCAAGCTTGGGTATGCCTGTCTTTTGCCGACCGTGGGTGTGTGTAGGCCCGGGCGAATGGGCCTTAAGGATCTCTTGGACATAACGCGCAACATATGTAAATATATATTTGCACATGACTCATGACCATGTGTATATATATATATATATTGTAGAGGCCAGCCCCTTGGTTTTGTTTTGGAGGATCCCAATTTTGGCGGGGTATACCTTTTTTCTGGAGAATCTGTTTTTGGGGTTGATTGGAAGGGAAATATGAGGGAACGAATTGATCAATCCGGAGAAGTAGACAATTTGAATTATTATTGCCTTTGAACTTCAAAGTAAGTGCGCGCAGCACATGAAAGCATTTGGGATCAAGATTGAAAATCAAACGTGAGTCAACTTGTCGAAACGCTTGAAAGAAGAGCCAAGCATTTTTGCGTTTAGGTTCCACATTGTCAGGACTCCAGGTTTGGTGCGAGCTGGGCACCAAATAGTAAATGGGCGGAACCCTCGAGGCAAAAAGAAAGGGAAAAAGAAGGGAGACAGCGCGCTGTGTTCCCAGCATTCGTTCTGCGCGTTGTTTTTCTTCGGTGAGGGGTCCTGCAAAGTACTTCGGCAAAACACGGTTCTGGGAAGCAGGTTCTTTACTTGCATATTTTTGGAAGTTCTACAGAGGGTTCTGCGAAGTGCTTCGGCAAAGGCGAGGCAGGGGTTCTGAAGCACCGGTGGCATTTTCTAAGTTAGTCTGCGAACTTAGACTTAGTTGGTGATGCTTGGCAGGGTTTCCAGAGATGGTGCCCGTTCAAGTTTTCTGCCTACTCCACTGCTCAAGGCCTCAAGGCAGGGGCGCGCCTTGATGTGACACGGGTGCGAACGAAAATTCCTCCAACTAAGTTGGGTGGGAGCCTGCAAGTGCTTGGCAATTTTCTTTGATGGCGCATGAGCAACGGACCAAACCAAATATCCTGGATGTTTCTTTGGCTGTCATTTTGGGGGAACCTGCGCATGTTGCCAGCGATGAAGCCTTGCCCTCGCACATGTGGAATTGGTGTGTGCGTGGAGCCAGTGTCAGAGCCGGAGTGGTGCGGAGACCGCGGCTGCTGTCGCAGCTGCTGATCTTCGAGCGCGTCACTCGCAGGCTGGCTTTGGGCCAAGCGGAGAAGAAGCATGGTCAAAAAAACGTCAAACTTTGTCACTTTCCTCCAATTGCTTGGCCCAAAAACCATTTCGGAAGACTACCTTCCTTTTAGAAAAGGCCCTGCTTCCATTTTTTGCGGGAGGGTAATTTGTGGCATTGTGGCACATGGTTTTGTGAGGGCGTGCTAGGGTTCCCACTGCCAAGATGACACGCAGTTGCAGAAGGGACATCGGCTTCCCCAAAGCCTTTTTGCGCCCAACCAAAATTGCCAGGTTAGGTTGACCTTCCCTTTTCGCCGCTGGGGATCTTGTCTTCTTTGTTGCCAGCAACAATTTAGGCCGCAAAGCGTGTTTGGCTGTTGGCCATGCTCTGTGCTGTTTCATGTTTGTTGGTGTTTTTGTCGGTTTGGTTGTTTGGTATGTTTGTCTTGGCTGGTTTGGTTGTGTTTAGTTTGGTGTTTTGTTCAATCTCCACATCCCTCGACTCAGCCTAAACCTTAAACCCTATACCATGACTACAGACCCATAATCGTCAGGGCTTTGGTCGTAGCACGGTCATACACAGTCGGCGAAAGGAGCGCCGTGGCAGTGCTTGGTTCTTCAAATTAAAGGTACCGCATAAACCCCCTGCCCCGCTATATCCGAGCCCCCAGGGCCTTCAGGCCTCGAGTCTTAAACCCCCCTGGGCCTCAAACCTAAAACCTGAAAGCGAAAAAACTCTAAACACAAAACGCTTAAACTCCAAATCCTTGACTCAGCCTAAACCTTCAAACCTACACCAGGACTACAGACCCATCGCCCATAATAGGAGCCAGGGTTTTGGTCGTAGTAGGGTCATGAGAATGAGGGCTTTGGTAGGCCAGGGGAGAGCTAGGATGCATGTTAGGGGTAGTGACCCAAAAACTGGACTGCGAGATTCAATAGCAGCATCTCAACACCATTTGTGACAACATATTTTTGGCATCTGTGAATCTGGCCACTTCCAACACGATAACTTGATAAAGGGACGCAGCCCTCTCTATGGTTCCACCCACACACGTGAAACCTCCAAATGCAAAAGCAACCAGAGATTGCGTGGCGGGGGTGGTCCGGTCAGCAGACAGCGTAGTAAAACATGCGTAGTTGCTTGCGTGTGGACCTGATGAAGGCCCGACTGGCGCACCTGTGTCCATGTAGCCCTGAGGGCTTCAAAGTAACATACCCCGACACAGCGCTTTCTGTAACAATTTACACATGGTGTCCCAGCAAGTGGAAGGCCGTACTCAACTTTGCTGCAAACAAGCTTGCCTCGGGAAAGTGTTCAGGAACCAGCACAAGCAGCTACAACACGGCCAGCCATCCGCAACTAGCCAGACAATCAAATTGGCTCACGGTGTAGAAGCGCAAAGCACACGGACATGTGTGGAAGCAATTAGCATCAGCAACCGAAGAGAAGAGCGCCGAATCTGTGTAGCTCCAACTTTCTTGCTTTCCTCAGATTTTTGCCGCGAGCGAGACTTGTGCTTACGAGAGGCGTCGGTAAGCGCACGGGGGACCAGCGTGGCGCGTAGATATGTGCTGCTTGCAACTTGTATGTGCTTACAGGAGGCGCGGATAAGCGCACGTGGGGTGCCATTCGCTTCTGCACATGGTTTGACTTCTTGTGCGCTGACTGCCACAGTGTCCTTCCAAAAAGTGCCAAATGTTCTTTTCGGTGACCGTGGCGACCTGCCCCAAACCGCAGCCCAGGTCCAGGATCCACAGACACCCACCCCCGCATGCGCAACTGAGCCCTTGAGAGCACATTGGCGCGCGCCTTGTCATGCCCAGCCTCCTGTAAGCACAAGTGGCTCTGCTTAGCTTTCGCCGGGCTGCCTGGCTGCGATCCTTGGCGGGTGTGTGCAGTGACGATGAGGAGGTCCGGGTGGCGCCGATGCCAGAGTTGTTGCAGGCAGGGTGTGTCCGGGGTTTTCCGTTCATAGTGGAGGGCTGGCCTCCATAATCCTTGTCATCTGGAAAGAAATAGAAAGAACAGACGCAATGAATTTTGGGGGGTGGCCTCGTTCTGTTTGGAAACTTTGGGGAGTTTCATAGTGGCATTGAAGCGCTGACTAAGCCCATACCAAGCCACAAATGACAGCCCCTTTGCCGGCATGGTTTGTTTGGCTTGCGAGCTTCCGGGGGGGCGGGGGGGGTGCTTTTATTGGGGGGAGGGGGGTGTTTCGGGAGGACCGTAACGTGATATGATTGGTTCATATTGGTTAGTTTTTTTGAGCAGACCTTGTTGGTTTCTTTCTTAAGTATTTTTAGGATCCTGGCGCGCAAAAGGGGAGAACCTCGCTTCTTCCACGGGGCCCGGACATGTTGGTGACTTCTGAGGCGACAAGGTTTGGACAAGCCAGCTGAGATTTTTGGAGGACCCCTTCAGTCTTCATCCTTGCAAACTGGCACAGGCATGTACACCTCATAGGTGGAATTGCCAAACAGGCCGCCAGGTATCCACCTGCGCTGGTCAAAGCTGTCCTTCGGACAGTCAATTCTGATCTTGTACAGAAGGGTGAGCTTAACTCAATGGAGTCAAGTACATCAGGGCCAATTTGCGAGGAACCTTTTGTTCCAGCAGACTACATTGAAGTGATGTGAATGGATGGCCTCCATCCAAGGCGGGTCCCTTTGTGATGAAATCCTTGTCATTTGGAGAGAAATAGAAAGCATCTGTGTTGGGGGAAGCCCGTTACTTTTGGAAGCCTTGGGGAGTTTCATGGTGGCGTTGAATCTTGTTTTTTCGGCCGCAAATCTTTCGGATTTTTGGGCATCGCCACAAGCATTGTGACCTTGGTTGGGGTAGGGCTATCCAGCTGGGGCCTCTATTCCAGGCCGCCCTTCTATAGAAGGCAGTTGTTGAGGCATGGGAAGCGCCAGCAGGGGGCCAAGCCACAGACTCAAGGTTGACACAACCTTGTCTTAATTGTCCGGGAGGGTTGAGGGCTGAAGGGTCTTGATGTGTCCCCGCATGAGGCAGCTTGAGGCATCACTCCGACCAAAGACAGTTTGACTCAAAAGACGGATCTGGCTTGTCAGTGCCAGTCGGGCCCCGACGTTAGGCCTTAAAGGAACATCACCACATAGGGGCCCGACGTAGCCATGTCGGGGCCCGACGTGCAATCC